TTATTAAAAATTCCTTAACTTTAATTTCATTGGCATTAATCAAGATAGATCAAGGGTTTAATTATTACAAGAAAGATTATGGGGTAAAGCTCAGCAACTTCCAACATTTAATTCAACGTTATGAATTAAGAAAGCAGAACCAATAAAAAAACAATGTCTCCACCATACTTTTTTGGGTTAGTGGTCCACGTGAAAAGTTAGATACTTTCCGTAACTCTAACCAAATCAAGTTAATTTCCCTTTTTCTTTTTTCTTTTTTTTCTTTTGCCACCTAAATTAAAGTAATCTGCAATGCTACTTCCATATCCCAGCTAAAGGTCAAATTCCTTGACGTTTAGGCCGCATTGTTTTCATCTGCCATTTTGTTATGTAAGGTTTTTGAGGAAAATTTATTTTAGCTTCACGGCCTGCTTGGTGTGCGGTTTTCTGATGAAACTACTGAACCCAAAGCTACTGTCTCGTAAATTGTTGGGAATTGTTTAGTTAACTTATTTAATTTTTCTCAACCAAAGTTGATACTTTTTTTTTTTTTTTTTGAGGAAGTAGGACTAATTAAAAAGTAACGTTCACAATAAAGTGTCGATTATAGCTTATTATATTTAGTTAATTAAACACCTAACATAGTTCATTATATTTGGTCCAATTAAACACTTTACGGCATTTTTAGAAAACCACCTTTTTTTTTTTTTTTTTAATATGGTTTGAGAAAATTAGTAAATAAAAATATTAATTTTACATTTTTTTATCTAAAAATGTTGATTTTATTAGTTTTTAAATAAAAATATTAATTTTTAATTTTTTTATTTAAAAATTAATTAGATGGTGATGTTAATGTGACAAGCCAAGCTTTTTAAAAAGGGTAAACATTCTTAAATATATAAAAATAGTTGAAAATTGATATTTTTAAATAAAAAATTAAAAATTGACATCTTAAATAAAAAAAGTTAAAAATTGACATTTTTATTTAGACATTGATAAAGTTAATATGTTTAAATAAAAAAAAATTAACATCTTTATTTATATATAAAATATATATATATATATTTTCCAGTATAGTTTCTTCCAAAAACTGCATACTAAACAAGTCCTAAGTCAAGCCAATTTTTTTTCAAACATGATTTTTTAATTTTGATATCCCTAAGTTGGTACTTGGTTTGTGAGGCACTTTCTCTACTTCGACAGTCAAGTGCTTTAGACTTGCATTTTCAGCCTAAAAAATTGTGGATATATGGCTGCAGATGTTTGCGGAGCTGCAAATGCTGACACCATTAGTGCCCACCAGAGAAGTGTATTTCGTCCGATACTGCCAGCAACTTTCTGCCGAGCAATGGGCAATAGTTGATGTTTCTATCGACAAGGTTGAAGAAAACATCGATGCATCCTTAATCAAATGCAGAAAACGTCCCTCAGGATGTATCATTGAAGATAAATCCAATGGCCATTGCAAGGTATATAAATGTTCATCGCCTTAAAATCTACAATGCATTTTTTGTTTGGTCGGCGAGCATCGAATTCAGATAGGCTTCATGATTTTCAGGTGACATGGGTGGAACACCTGGAGAGCCAGAAAAGCACTGTCCATAGCATGTATCGAACCATTGTTAATAGTGGTTTGGCCTTTGGTGCAAGGCATTGGATGGCTACTTTGCAGCTCCAGTGTGAGCGGCTTGTCTTCTTCATGGCAACCAACGTTCCCACCAAGGACTCAACAGGTAATAAATTCATAAATGTTCATCTCCCTAATCAACGCTGTATATTTGATGATGAAGATTGGGATAAACGTGTGTTGTGAAATGTTTAGGTGTTGCAACATTGGCTGGGAGGAAGAGCATACTGAAGTTAGCACAGAGAATGACATGGAGCTTCTGTCGTGCGATTGGGGCATCAAGTTATAACACATGGAACAAGGTTTCTAGCAAGACAGGGGAGGACATAAGGGTGTCTTCTAGGAAAAATTTGAATGATCCTGGAGAGCCTCTGGGAGTCATTGTGTGTGCAGTTTCATCCGTTTGGCTGCCTGCCTCTCCCAATGTCTTGTTTGATTTCTTGAGAGATGAAGCCCGTCGCAGTGAGGTACTATTCTAGTAATCAAATTATCAAAATCATAAAACAAGATTTGCTAAGAACAATGTTTGACAGTCTTTCTTATGCAATTCAGTGGGATATCATGTCAAGTGGAGGTTCAGTACAGTCTATAGCAAACCTGGCTAAAGGGCAAGATCGAGGCAATGCAGTAACCATTCAAGTAAGTTCTCTATCACCAAGGATTGAATATCACAAGCTGAATATGCTTTTTCTCAAACATACTTCGGGTTCTAAATCATTTTTTTTTTCTCATCAGACAATGAAGTCAAAAGAGAATAGTATGTGGGTACTTCAGGATAGCTGCACTAATGCTTATGAATCCATGGTGGTTTTTGCTCCCGTGGACATATCTGGGATGCAGTCTGTAATCACCGGTTGCGACTCCAGCAACATAGCTGTGTTAGCTTCAGGGTTCTCCATTCTACCTGATGGAATCGAGTCTAGACCATTAGTTATCACTTCCAGACAGGAGGAGAAGAGCACAGAAGGAGGATCTTTGCTTACAATAGCATTCCAAATCCTAACCAACAGCTCCCCAACTGCCAAACTCACCATGGAGTCTGTGGAGTCTGTCAACACACTCATTTCATGCACATTGCGAAACATAAAGACAAGCTTGCAGTGTGAAGATAGTTGATTACAGTAGTTTTGTTGGTTGATTAGATATTAATTGTAAAACTCATAGGTTTCCCCCTTTTTTTTTTTTATGGTTTCTTCTCTGCAACTTACAGTTTTTAAGAAAACGAGCTAATTTTATGTGGGCTTGTTTTATTGTTGCCTCTTTGGTTAGAACCAATGACTTGGATGTCAGGGATACTTTGGTGGATATGCTGGCAAGGCCTAGGAAGGGAGAGTTTGGATTTGAATCTTTTTAGATTTAGGAAATTGAGTATTTTATGTATATAATTATTATTCATTAATGCCATTTCCTAGTTTTGATTGTTTTTATCAATTTCAGTAAAGCCAAAACAATGCTCTCAAAAACAAGCTATTAGACATCATAGAAGGAAAGTGGAAGTATTTGCACTGCAGTGCCAAGTAAAACTAGGATTACCAGTATGATTGCAGTGTTTCTTGGGGGTGAGGGTAGAAGGTTCAGAGAACTCATAAGAACATGCCAAGATGCAAAGTAAATGATAAAGCATTTCCGGATAAATACAATCTAAACATTTTTTTGGTACTAACCTCCGGTATTCCCAACTAATCTAAAATTAAGTTAGGTCGGTTAAAAGAAAAAATCCTTCCAATGCTTGTTTCTCATCTATTTATAAAACATAAATTCAAGATTTTGTTTAAGAAAAACAAAGATCCTTTTACTTAAATCAATAAATCGTTGGTATAAATACAATCTAAATATTTGTTAAAAATTTAATTATGAAATTAACCAATTAAGAATCTACACAAAAATCATCAGTTAAATCACCTCACGTTGCATCCTGAAGATGCATCAATGACTGTGAGGTTTCCTTCTAAGCATTCCTCATACAAACCACCAAGCAAACACTTTTAGAATGAAGAGGATAGTACAACAGGCTCACGTGCAATAGATGGACCTTTAATAACTCTCATTGGCATTTTTCCGAACATCCATGTAACAGATTTGTATTACTCTTCAAAAATCACACAAAAATTTCCCACACTCAGTTTAATTTCCAATTTGATTTTTTTAAAAAAGAAAATTTGTAAGTTAATGGTATCTCTAAATTCCAACATAATTGCACATAAATCTTTAATTTAGTCAGGAAAAAATTTGTACCTTTTCACCAATTGATTTTTCTCAACACAATGGATTTCATAATTCATACCCATCAAACAGCAATTACATTGAAACGCAGTCTCAGAACATATGATTACCAGCAAACACTAAAAACATTTGCAGAATATCACAAATTACCATAATGAAGATTCCCGCTAAGCCTGCTGCTCTTGCTGCTGTTGAGACTCCAATGGAATCCTAAGGGCCCCGGCCTCCTCATCCTTCTTCTTCCCTACGTTCCTGCTCGGAATAGGCACCGACGGAGAAGTCTTGGTCTTGCTAATGGGTTTGCACTTCAAGCTGGACGAAGTCACCCACATTGAAAGTGTTATCCAGGTCATGAGCCTGGAACCTCTTCTTCTTCTTCATAACGCGCCTCTTGTGCTTGGGATGCGGCGCCAGACGCACCACCTCAACAAAAACCGTCTCGTCGTCGGTGGAGCAAACCGCGCGACCTTGCATGGATTTTATTACCTTGATCGGGAGGAAATTGGGGGTTCTGTGGGGCTGGGAATAAAGGGGAGTAGAGGGTTTTGAGAGGAGAGAGAGCGAGCTTGTGCCATGGAGGAATGGGGATGAGAGCTTGGGAGGGTGGAGTGAGGAAGCAAGTGACACTTTTGTTGTTTATCTGAATGGGGAATTGGGGGCTCTCTTCGGGTTGGGAAAAATCAGTTACGAAACAGTTAAGAAAAAACTTCTCTTTTTTTTTTTTTTTTTTGAAACAATTATGAAATTTGAAAATGTATAAATTGATTTTAATTTATTAAATAATAAATTTTAATTATTTTATTATTTATTAACTAGCAATTATATTATTTTCAACCATTAGACTAAATATGGAGTATTAGTGTTTTAAAAGATAGAAATTAAAATTTTGAGTGGGTGGCAATAATGATTCCCGTTAGAGAGTGTTAGATTAGCATGCGGTTTGGTGAATTATGGAGGGTGGATGATCAAGAGCAGCAACATGAAATAACACATTCTGTCATCGTTACAGAATACAGACACGTGATATTTTTGAAGAGTTGATTTATTTCTGGATTTTTTTTTTTGTTTGGATTTCTTAATTTTCTTTGTACGAGGAATTATACATTGATGTACTCCATATCGCAATAATAGTTATTATCAACTATCTAAATAATTTAGTAATAATGTTTTTTATTGAAAATAAGATATTTTTAATTTGAGTCGTATGGTATATAGATGTGATAGGATAAAGGATTGAAAGAATTGCCTCGTTGTACAACCAATATATAAAAAAAAAAAACACAATAATAGTTATTTTTTAATTAAAATTTTATTTTAAACTAATAATAATATTTTTATTTTTTAAGGTAAAATATGTTTTTCCATCTTATTAACTAGATAAATATTGCTTAGTAGGGCAATGTTGGGGAGTTAACGTAACATTGGCGGTAAGCCCAACATTAGCTGCAGGCCTAATAAGAACTTAAAAACTAAAAAAAGCTGTGAAAATTCACCTCAATGACCAGTAGCATATGAGTCAATTAGATAATGATACGTGACAATGATATCATAAATAAGAATTATAAATACTCTTTTTTTATTTGAATCGAAAATAATAATTACACTACATTTCTTTCTTTATAATATCTAATTCACGAGAGTTTCTCTCTCTAAAATAAATAATTATTACTAATTTGAGTATTGAAGTATTTTTCCTAAGGACAATTTCTCAAGATTTTCAAATATTAAAATAGTGCAAGAATTCAATAGTTTTAGAGTTTGTGAAGCTACCCAAATAGGCAGCTTTTCACGAGAAAATTTGCCAATGTTGATGCAATGACGGATTTGTTAAGGGAGATCTGAAGGTTGGCAAGAGGGTTGGAAATTAGAGAGATTAATTGGTGAAAGAATTTATGTCTTAACCTTCGAATCTCTTCATGATCGTGACAGAGCACTACAACAGGACCTGTGGTCTTTTAACAAACAACCCTTGGTGTTAAAGGTCCCAAATCCTGTGTTGCCTCTGTAGAGTATGGACATCATCACAAAGTGTGCCTTTTGGGTGCATATGAGAGGTTTACCACTGAGAAGGCACACAGAGAGCACTGCTTGGAGCTAGCATTGGTGAGAAGGAGAAGTGCTGGAGGTTGATGTAGGGAAAGGGACATTAGCATGTGTGGTTCATAGCTAAGAGCTAAGGTATGGGTTGATGTCACTACAACCCATACCACGAGGTGGAAGGGTTGGTTTATATAACGTTGAGCCTGAAATGGTTTTGAGTAGATACAAATTTGTCTTGTCAAGTTGTAGCTCTAGAGCTTATACTTTGCTTTGGATATAATAATATCCCTCTCCAAAATATCTCTACTCCTCAAAGACTTCAGACTATCCTAAAAACTGGGGGATAAAATCAGCACCATGAGCCATGAGGCAAGCAGCGTTAGCTACAGTTTAAAGTTTGAAGTTAGTGTAAGATGATTGTCTTTTTAAAATTTTTTTAGAAGATTTACTTAAAAACTCGGCTATAAAAATTAATTGTTGTATTAAATATTTGATTTATATAAATTATATATATTAAATTTTAAATTCATTAAATATTTATAATTTTTTATTAAAAAATTTTATTTATTAATTTGTATTTAATTATATTAAATTTTATATAATCAAAAGCTTATTAAGATTATTAAATTAATATAAAAATTAATCTACATTATTTATATAAATAAAATTTTTAATTTAATAATTAATTTTTAAAAATATTAATTAAAATATAATTATTTTAATGATGTCCAAAATATCTTATAAAACACTTTTTCCTTCAAGCGTTGGACGTGTTTGGTTAGTGGTTAGTCCTTGAATGATTTTCTCAAAAAGCCTCGTCATTTTTTAACAAAACTTAACATTTTTAAATGTTATGGCATTTTTATTCTTTATTTTTAAAAAAATTAATATATATTATTTATAAAAATTAAAATTTTAAGTTAACAATTAAGTTTTAAAAATATTAATTAAAATATAATATTTTTAAATATGTCCAAAATATCCTATAAAACACTATTTCCTTAAGCGTTGGACGTGTTTGGTTAGTGAATAGTCCTTGAATGATTTTCTCAATAAACTACGTCAATTTTTTGACCAAACCTAACATTTGATTCTTCTTTTTTCTAAATATTTTTACACCACTGTCTCAGAAAGCTACAAACGCCCACAACAACTACGGGCATAAAATATCAACGAGGGGTTGGATCAAGTGGTAAGTGGCTTGTTTCAGCTTAAATAAAATCTTGAGTTTGAGTTCTTGTGTATGCAGCAGCCTCTACTGGGAGACTTACCCATCATTTTTTGGTGCGCGACGCGGGTCGAGTCTGAATTAATCGGGACGAAGCTTCGATAACGGGCAGGAAACCAAAAAACTACGGGCATAAAATATCAATGAGGGGTTGGATCATGTGGTAAGTGACTTGTTCCAGCTTAAATAAAATCTCGAGTTTGAGTTCTTGTGTATGCAGCAACCTCTACTGGGAGACTCACCCATCATTTTTTGATGCGCGACGCTGATCGAGTCTGAATTAATCGGGACGAAGCTTCGGATAACGGACAGGAAACCAAAAAACTACGGGCATAAAATGAGAAGCGACAATTTAGAGCTGGCTACCATTTTCACGGACAGCTGTATAAATCTTTAATTCAGTTCCAAAACTACCCACCTCTTTGTGGCAAAAATCAACATTGAACCCCTCATCTTATAAAATTAGTAGGTTTTAGTCCTTTATCTTATAGCATGACACTTTAACCCTTTACTTTACAAAGTTGATAAATTTTAACTCCTCACCTTATATTATGATATTTTTAACTCTTTACCTATACGAATTGAAGAAAATAGCCCTCACCTAACATTAAGTTATAACGTTATGTTACTTCTGTTAGTTGACTGTTAATATTCGTTAGCATTTTGTTATAGAAAACATAAAATTTAAATTCAATTTTATTTGTTAGTTCCATTAACAAAATGCTAATGGATGCTAACAGTTAGTTAACAGAATTGACAGTCAGCTAACAAAACTGATAGTCAACTAACAGAACATTATACTTTGATGTTAAATGAAGATTATTTTTTTTAATTCGTGTATCTAAGGGGCTAAAAGTGTTATAGTATAAAATAAGGGACCAAAACTTATTAACTTATAAGGTAAGGGATTAAAACCTACCAAATTTACAAGATAAAAGGTTAAAGTGTCATATTTTAAGATTAAAAGCTAAAATCTACCAATTTTGTAAGGTGAGGGGTTAAAAATTAGTTTTAGCCGTCTTTGTTAACTTTATTGTTTTTTTATGAAAATGAAAGTTCAATTAGGATTTTCTATTTAGATGTAAACAAAGAAGAGCATCAACTTTTTAATAGAACCAAATGTAGCTCAGCCCAAGCATAAGCATATCAACCTCTTATAACAATTAAGCCAACAATTAATGCTTTCATTATGTTTAATTTTTTATAAAAATTAATAAAAAGAAATTTTTTTTTATAAATTTTTTAATTTTGATATGAATTACTTACTTTTAATTAAATTGAAAAAAAATTAATCTTAAAATACGCATAAATTAATCTAAAATCACCCTAGTCACTAAAAAAAATTAATGCTTTACTTCATCAAGGAATAAAACCGATATCACAATATATATATTCACAACATGCCAATAAGAACATCATCAATTCATACTTAAATATTTTTAATAACCGAATGCTCCATGAAACATTATGCACGAAAGAATGTTATGGGATCGATCAATTAATCAATGTGTGTGGTCACATTCTGCCAGAGCATGTCATGGCACACCCACGGTGGTCAATAACAATAACAATATTTGTAGGAATGATGACCACTCAGGGAGGTTTGACCCCAGCTCCGCCTCGTTTTGAGGCTTGGGTGATGTATTGTAAGTAAGAAACTGTTATTGGTTTTAGGTACTCCTGGCACATCAAGAACATAATTCTTTTTGCTAATAAAAAAAGACAATAACAATATAGCTGCTATCATTCGAGCAAAATAATATCTAACCATTTGCCTTTGTCCATAACACATAAAACTCAATGCAATTCATGTTGCATGTGACAATGTTTCAACACTCTCATGAGGTTTTGTGGATGTAATCTTATATATGCTCCACTTTTCCCTACATCAACCTCCAGCACTTCTCCTTCTCACCAATGCTAGCTCCAAGCAGTGCTCTCTGTGTGCCTTCTCAGTGGTAAACCTCTCATATGCACCCAAAAGGCACACTTTGTGATGATGTCCATACTCTACAGAGGCAACACAGGATTTGGGACCTTTAACACCAAGGGTTGTTTGTTAAAAGACCACAGGTCCTGTTGTAGTGCTCTGTCACGATCATGAAGAGATTCGAAGGTTAAGACATAAATTCTTTCACCAATTAATCTCTCTAATTTCCAACCCTCTTGCCAACCTTCAGATCTCCCTTAACAAATCCGTCATTGCATCAACATTGGCAAATTTTCTCGTGAAAAGCTGCCTATTTGGGTAGCTTCACAAACTCTAAAACTATTGAATTCTTGCACTATTTTAATATTTGAAAATCTTGAGAAATTGTCCTTAGGAAAAATACTTCAATACTCAAATTAGTAATAATTATTTATTTTAGAGAGAGAAACTCTCGTGAATTAGATATTATAAAGAAAGAAATGTAGTGTAATTATTATTTTCGATTCAAATAAAAAAAGAGTATTTATAA